CTCTGACTCTGTTAATATTAAATTTACTTTATACCTTTAAGTTTGAGCCTGTTTTGCCCTTAGAGTGTTTTCTTCCAATCCTTATCTCAGCTCATGAGCCCTTCATTATGATTTTCATGGGTGCCTGGTGTCTTAACCATTCCCATTTCTTGAATGCCCCTAGTCTATAACAGCAAGGATTGTAAATGACATAGGATTTATGAGCTGAAACCTATGCTTTGAATTACATTTGAAAACAAGTGGGTAACCAGTACATTTTAAGGCTATCCTTTCCCCTCTGCAAAGGGCCACGCACTGCAAATGAATGTTGGCATATCAAATCTTGAAACAATTTACTATAGCTGTAATAACTACATTTCTGTTCTGTCACCCCTAGAATGGGAATGCAATCCCATAAATTGGGCCCCACAATTTAAAAAGGAATGTGAAGGTCCTTGAATGAGTCCAGTGTATCATCCTGAGTTTTGCTGCACTGGTTGTGCAAGGAAGGGGGAGGGTGTTCTGACACTCCAGCAGGCTTGCCTGGGACACTTCACCCTCTTCAACAAAAATATCAGCAAGGAACCCTTAAGTGTCCAGTGACGTGAGTCCTGAGGTCCTGACATTCACCCTCAAAATGGTGCTACAGGATGAAATCACAGCAGGTATGGGCAGAGCCAAGCACTACAGAAAGGGCACTGGATTGCTTGCTGAAGTTGCAGTGTCTAATATTAGCCACAGGTCGGATACTTTAGAAAGCCTTTCAAGAAGGACAGAGGTTGTGGGACAGCTTTCCTGCCTGTAATCCCCTGGAGCAGCACACTCAATAGCAGCTCTTTGAGGCTTGTAACCCAAATCCTGCCAGGCTGCGCAGAGAGCACAAATGGCTCTTGGATACTTAGGCCTGTACCTAAAATAGGAACAAAGCTGCTCCCATGTGCGTCCCCACAAGCTGGGGGAGGGCTCACATGATATCTGAGAGTGCCCGTGCTGTGTGCATCTCTCCTCTTTCTGCTTCACTTACAAAGTTGTACCTTTCTCTCAAGATACTGAACTTTGGCACCAGGCAGTAAGCCACCTTCTCTGCACACCCACGGGTGTAAGGATATCCAAGGACAACCAATTCAGGCTGATACATGGCAGGAAGAATGTGGCAGTAAGACAGTGCAGCAGCCGCCAGCAGCAGGAGTGGGTGAGTGAACTGCCATGAGCAGCGATGGGTGTGGGGTGTGGGACGTGCTGCCTCTGCACAGAGAATATGAGGGCCCTCTGTGACCCTAAACATCAGGGTTCAGAGTCCAAATGACACCATAAGAGCAGACACCAGTGCCAGAACATTGGGGTGGGGGTGCCAGCGGAAAAGAGAGTAAGTGGAGTTGTGTCAATGGGCATCACCTGTCACTGCAGGATTTAGGGCAGAGTTCAGGTAGCAAACAGCTGCTGAGAGACAGATAAGGGGAACCCGATTAAGCCCAAACAAAAAATTCTGCATCAGGCCTGAACAAATGAAGAAATTAAATGGCACAGAATTCAGGATTATCTAAATGGGAAAAAGGAAAGTACATACACCAAAATATCAAGACAATGGTGTTAACAGTAAGCTGCATGTTAATTTCCTAGGCAATAGTATGATCAAAAGGAATGTCTTGAGAGGGTGTTGGCTCTCAAAGAGGAGCTGTTATTCCAGAAAATTCATAGAAGACATTGCTTTTACAGGAATAGCCATTGGTAAATTGAAGGAGATCTAGAAGACTTTCAAATTTTCCTAATCAAGAATGTTCTTTAAATCCCACCAGCTGCTCTGCATTTCAGGGTAACTAAGATGGCAGAGATGTGTTCAAAGCACTCTGAACACATTCTCTAGGAGAGTATGTAATTTATAAAGGTCCTGTGAGTGAAACTAAGCTCTTGCTGCTATAGTGTGCAGGCTTCGATGGCATTCACAGATCCAGGTTCTGCACCACTGGCTCATACATTCCATTCCATTCCATTCCATTCCATTCCATTCCATTCCATTCCATTCCATTCCATTCCATTCCATTCCTGCTGTACTTTTTTTTTTTTAATTGCTAGACTCCTTCTGCTTAAGTCATGTAAAACCCAATACCCCACTGGCCACAGCCAGTGCCAAAATGATGCCACGTCTGGTACCGTGAGCAAGCAGATATGGAGGAACCCAAGTGGAGCTGGATTTCACAGCTCCTACAGAAGGAATCAACAGCAGACTTGGAACAGAGATACCTGCTTTCTGTGAAGACACTGGGGATTTGTTTTAATAACCTGACTTAGCTGATGACATGAAGATTTTAAGACTCCCCAGACTGTTAGTGTTAGGAGTGTTGGCATGAGTAACGTCACTGACTCAGAACATGAGCATTTCCAGAGAGGAGGTTTGGTGCAGTTGATCATGGTTGGGTTCCTCTTGAGAATCATCAGTGATGTGTCAGCCATAGTATCTACCCCCTGACACCCTCATTGCCTGACCATAAACATATTCCTCACCATGATCTACAGGAAGGTCAGTTTCTGAGTTTGTCTGCCAGTGGTAATTCTTTCAAAACTCCCACCTTACCCTCCTCTGACAAAAAAGCCATAAAGTGATAATAGAAAGGCATGTTCAAAAGATGCTGTCAGCAACAGCATCTTATCAAATTTCAGGTGTAAATAATTGCACGTTCTGGAACCTGTGCAGTTCCAGTTAGACACTGTCTCACAGCATCTTCTCTCAAGACCAGAGGAATTGCAGTATCTCCTGAAGACAAGCCTCCCCCTTTCTTCATAAACAGGATCTATTTCAAGAGTAGATGAACCAATTCCATGAAAATGCTGTGTCCTGGTCTTGAGTTATAATGGCTTTGGGATCCTCACTAGGATGGAGAGGTGCACGCATAAGACAGTAGGATGAAGTGTTATGAGAGTCACAACTCAAGAGTGACTTAAATGCAAGAATCCACACAAGGTGAGGTTTGTTGCAGCTGGACCAGTAAGGCTGCAATGGGCAGCAGCTCTGCCCAGATTAGTGCCATAGCAGGCACAAGCATTCACTCACCATCGCCAGACCTGAGCACATCCACCTGTGGGGGCACCAGTGCTCAACTGCATTTGGAGTTTCATAGAAGTACAGAATGTCTTGGATTGGAAAGGACATTTAAGTCCATCTCATTCCCGCCCCTGCCATGGGGCAGGGACACCTTCCACTATCCCAGGTTGCTCCAAGTCCCATCCAGCCTGGCCTTGAACACTTCTAGGGATGGGACAGCCACAGCTTTCCTTGGTAAAGTTTGGCAGGCCTCATCATCCTCACAGGGAAGATTTTTTTCCCAGTATCCCATCTAAGCCTGCCCTCTGGAAGTGGGAAGCCATGCCCCCTTGTCCTGTCCCTCCACTCCCCCTTGTCCTTTGTCCTTGCCCAAAGTCCTCCCCAAGCTCCCTTGGAGCCCCTTAAGGGAGTAAAAGGGGCTCTGAGGTCTCCCTAGAGCCTTCTCCAGCCTGAACTAATTGTGCTTACCTCAGGTCCTGCTGACTGGGAGGAACTTCATTTTCCCACTCGAGGGTGCTGTTCCCATTGGCAAAGGCCACCCTTCTGCTTTTCCAGTGCCCAGCATCACATCCCAGAGCTCACAGACAAAATGGCCATCAGGCTTGCTCAGAGCTTCATTTGGACTCACTGAACAGGGTTTAAGAAGGTAACATTCTTGTGGACTCTAACTAGAAGACTTGTTTGACCTCTGAACATATTATCATCCTGTTCACAGTGGGCATCCGCTGGATAAATGATTACATCTTTAGAAACCTGTGTACACTCATAAATATATTGTCATATAAATACTAACCCAGCAGGGGTTCGGCAGTCCGTATTCTGAAATTATAAGTGATTTTGAAGTACTTCATATCCTAATTGTTTCATGAAGTATTGAACAAACCTGATAGGTAAGAGACTGGGTGCCCATCTTTGTCCTTCAGTCTCCTTTGGATGTCTCAAGGTACAGATCCCAAAAAACCTGGTATCTCTCATGGCTTGAAGGCAGCACTCTGCAGAGAGATTGAGTAGCAGTATTCAGCACTTGTAATTCTAGACTCACCATGATTTATGATTATGGACTGCTGAGGCATGCAGGGTTAGCACTTCTGAGCAGGGCTCTGCTCTGAGCTGCTTTGCTGTTGTGCTGCTGTGGCTCTGTGTGCTGGGGACCCTCTGGTGAGGACACAGACGGGTCCTCCTTGAGTGGGAGGACTTGGATCACACCTCTGTAACTAAAAGAGTCAAAGTGAATGCAAGGGAAATGAAAGGCAAACAACACCTGAGCACCTTCCTTTGCTCCAGGGGTCTTAGATGGTTTTGTTCCACCTATTGCACACACTGAAACAAGCAGACTTTTGCTTGTGGAAAGCCCAATCCAAATCCTTTGGAAGTCAGTGGGAGTTTTCATCAGTGGGCTTCAGATCAGCCCCAGAAAAACTGGCTCTATAAATATGGTGATCGCAGATCAAGCACTGCTTTAAGATGGTTTCAGTGATGCCACACAAGTACTGGATGACCACCTGCTTGTAGGTGTCCAGGTGTCCCCTGGGGCTCTGAGATGGCCAGAGTTTCCTGACAGGATTGTAAAACCAGGCCCCCAGTACTTTGTGCAACTGTGTTCTCTGATATGCTGTGGCAACCTGGCTACTGTAACCGAGACTGTTTACAAGGCATCCCTTTGCCAGCAGCTGGACTGTGCATTGCCTAGTGGGAATGGAGCAGGTGGACTCAAATGGGTAAACGAGAAAACTATCAGCAAGTCACTGTGTTTGTTTTAAAATTGTTCACATTTCTGTCTGCAAAGGTATTTATAACCATGCTCATCATAACCGTGCTGACTATAGCTTTAGAAAAGTCTGGCAAGAATAAGCTGATGGACAGCATTTCAGTGAGACAAGGGAACAGCCTTAAGTGCTCCAAGAATGCATTATAGCACAGGAACAGCAAACAGGATCTGTGCTCCCAAGACTCGAGAGCAAGAATGACGGAGTGGAATTTTTTTTGGCCTGCGTAACACAGGACAGAATAGATCATCTCAAGGGGGTTTTTTTTTCCGGCCTTAAAATCTACCCAGCTGTACTGCACTGATTCCAAAGCCGTGGGCCACAGAAGGAGCACTTTCTCGCTGTTTCGACTGGAATACTATGCATTACTTTAACCCCTGTTCTCCGCGTAAAGAGCGGCTGCAATTTCGCTGAAGGAGCCTCGGGTGCTCTGCGCCGAGACCTCCCCGCTCGGCCGCCCTGAGCGG